CAAAGAGTTAACAGGTTACTTTGGGCACCCTCACAAACAAAACAAAGGGTTAACAGGTGACTTCAGTATCCTCACCAGAAACAAAATAAAAGGGTTAAGAGGTGAGTTTCAGCATCCTCACCCAAGGCTTATAACCATTTGCTTCCAAGAAACAAACCAAAGGGTTAACAGGTAAATTCAGCACCCTCACCAAGGCCCAGAACCATTTGCTTCAAAGAAGAAAAACAAAGAATTAACAGGTGACTTCAGCATCCTCACACACCAGAAAGGGCTTGAAGCCTGTTAAGCATTAAGTTTTCAAGGCTCTGTGCCCCTGCTCTGCCCCCTTCTACAATGCTCAGTATTTAATACAATGCTCAGTAGTTATTACAACACTCAGTGTTTATTTTCAAATCTGCAATGAGAGATTTTTAAAAGCATTTCCATTCCGTGGGCAAAAAGCTGAGGAAAGGACTCGGTGCAAAATAAAGGTTATAACTAATTATTTGTTAATCACTTGCTAGAATCTCTGATTTTTCCTTGCTCTAGCTGGGTGTAAAAGCAGTTTTACACTGACAACACCCAGCCTCCCTCAGCTCCTGGCATGCAGCAGAACTGACCCACACAGGGTCAGAGAAAGGAGATAAACGGCATCAAAAGGAGAGTGAACATAATCCCGTTTGAGCCTTGTCACCTTCCCGGGTTAAAGGAAATTTCCTCTCCTTCCACCTCTGCTCTTCTCCCAGCAGAGCTGCGGCTCCTGTTTGGATGGGAAGCTGGGCTTTGCCCTCTGCTAATTAACATCTTCATTAGCACAGCCATTTAGTGCCTCCCAACAGGACCCAATGAATCACACCGGTACAACTTGTCACCTGGCTCACTTCTCCCGGAACTGAGAAAAACACTTCCCAAACCAGTGAAACCAGTAATCACCAGTGTGCAGCAACTGGGCAGGCAGGAGCCAGAAAATCAACTTCAGGGCCTGGTTTTCATTGAAAAATCCATTTCAGTGCTTGGCAGGGGCTTGCTCATCATCTGAAGGCCTGAGACACCAGCTGGAATGATGATCCAAAAGTTTGGATTCCCAAGGGATCATAAAGAAATACAATGCCTAAAACCCACTGAAGTGACTGAATTCAGGCTGATGATGTGCCTGTATCTTCTGCAAGAAAATCCTGAATATTCTGTAGTGAACCCCAGAAGATCTGATTCCAAACAACACCTGATGGATGGATTTGGGACCAAAGCAGCCAATGCAGCACACGAGCGAGGGCGCTGCAATTTCCCAGCCACTGAAGGATGAAGACCCAAAACCAGAATTTGCATTTGACATCTCTGAATTTGACTACAAATGCTCCCATCCTCTCTGCTCCTTCAAACAGCGCAAAGCGCTCGGTCTCAAACACTGCTCTGATTTTTTCCACATGAATTCTCAAACCTGAAGTGCCCAGATTAGAAATTGCTACCCCCAAACTCCCATCATCTCCTCAGAGCTTCAGTACCTGCCACAGATCTTCCCTGCCCAGGTGTCCACGGGAGCTTTTCCCTGCACTGAAACTGCTCCTGGTATCCAACAGCCCTAACTGAGATGATTCATGTCTTTAATGAGGTTTGCAGCAGCCACACTGAAGTCAAATTTGCCACAAGATTTCTGCTGTGCTGAACCACAGCTCGGGAACCTCGCTGCAAATCCTTGTTTCAGCCTTCCACAAGCCCTTTGGATGGAACTGGAGTTGTTTTATTTTATTTCCCTGAATACCCCAAGAACCTTCTTCACACTCAACTCTGAGACTGTCAGAAAGCCACTAATGAGAACAGACGAGGTACTTGGTAAGAAATGAAGATGTCTTAAAAGAATAAGGCATTTCAGCTCCAATCTGAAGTGTTGACAGCTGAAAGGAAAGTGAAACAAATAGATCTGAAACATGGAAAAACACTATTTATAATGCCATACAAACACTTCTCCAACAGAATGAGTAGTTACAGCTGAAGGGTTTAATGCCATCACCATTAAGAGTCACTTCCTGAACAGGCAGAACCTCTCAGAGCTTCACTCTGTTCCTGTTTTGTGATAAACTCACGGGCTCAGCTCGCCAAGAGCACGAGAGGATTAAGAAATAACTGAGGCGAGGGAGAAGCTCCTCTCCACGCTGGATAATTTCCATTTGTAAGGTAAAGGAGAGCTGGAATGAGCACACAGAGAGCAGGGGCCGTGCTGGAGCCAGCTCAGAGCCCAAAACAAACAAAATCCCCACATCTTCCCCAGCCTGTGCATTCCTGCTCAGGAGGACAGCAACAATTTTGTTTGCAGTGTTCAGGGCCCTGACAGATCCATCCCTAAAACCAGCAGTAAACCCGGTGGGTTTATTATAATTCCGTAATTTATAGATAAACCTTCCATCCACATCTCAGAGAGGCAATGCCTCAAACCATGCCCACCTTGCACAGGGCACTGCCAGGGGTTGGTGCCCCTGGGAAAAGTTCCTACAACACCAACAGGAGAATTCCTGTCCCTCCTCCAACCCTGCTGGGGTTTACAGGGCCCAACCTGTGGGAAATGGATTCGTAAGAGATAAGAAATGCTGACTTAGAAATAGGACAGACGTTGCTGAAAGAACTAGAAACAATTTCCAAGGTTGGCCTTACAAATAAAACTAGGTATTTTAGAGAAAGAAAACTTTGAATGATGCATTGTGGTAGGACTCACAAGGGGTAATTTTAGATGATTGGCTTTAAGGCATTTACAGCATGGTGTGGCTAAAGCTGATAGACCAAGAAACACTTAAATGTAATTAGGAAATAGTTGGCTGCTGATTGTGATGCTGTGAATTATAACATCTGTATTGTCTCACCCTTCACATGAGACTGAAAATGGAATAAAAGTTTCAAACCACCTCTCAGCTGCCCCATCTCTGGGTCGGGAAAGGGCTGAATCTGACACCAGCCCAGCTCCAGAGCAGAAACCCAAGCCCTCGCCATGCTCTGATCCACGGCACCCTGACCCTGGCACAGGCAGGACAGCACAACCCAGCGCTGCCAAACACACCAGGGAAACCCAGGAAAAGCCTCAATTGTTCCCATTTTCTCTGTCCCACCTCAACTGCAAGCCCTGGCTGGCTCAGCTGCAGCAGCAGAGCTGGAGGGCAGAGGCACAGGGAGTTCTGCTGCAGGAAATGTTGCATTTCTCTGCAGCAGCACGGGAGCACAAACATCACAAACCCCAGCACAAAGGCTGCCCCCAAATAACCAACACCTGCCCCACCCCTGGCTACCCCAAAATGTTGGGATTTCCCTATGCTAACAGGAAATAAAGGAACAAAACAACAAGAAAAAGCTGAACTGCAGAGAAATGAAAGGAGGCCCAGCTCCCAAGGAGTGGCTGCAGAGAAATCCTGCACGCCGCAATTCCAGGTGTTTGCTGTGGGAATATCCATTCCTGCACACAGCACAAGGAATTGATGTTGTTTGGCTCCAAAAAGGTCGAGGTTTTGGCACTCAGCTTCAAACTGGTTTCCAACAAACCCCAGCCTCAAGCACACACCGGTACTGTGCACTCTGGCACTGAGGGGACACTCAATGCTCACAAGGAGGATGAGGATGGTGAGAGACATTTTTCAGAAAGTCAGAAGGAGCTTTCCAGAAACCCAACTAGCAGGGGGTGGTGGCCCATTTCTGCCCTCCCTGCCTGTGCACACCGATCTCTGAACACACCTCTGGCATTTCCTGCTCCACAACCCAGGCCAAGNCCTGCATTTGGGGTGCTCTGTCCCACTCAGAGCTGACAGCAAAGGGCTCTTCCCACGTCCAGGAATAAATAAATAAATAACTAAATAAATAAATGCACGCCATCACTCCTGCCCTGGAATGCCTTGTGGAAATTCCAGCCTTTTCCTGAAGTATTTCTGCTGTAAAATGATGAGACACATACTGAGCACCTCATTAGCTCCCAGCACCAGCCCTGCCTGGAATGGTTATTCAGCAATTAGGGCTCAGATTAAAGCTAAACAGATACAGTGCACCTCTGCAAAGAACACCTGAACCACAAGATCAAATCACCAAAATCTCTCCGCTTTTCCCTCCATTACAGCAGCTAAAGCAAAAAAAAAAAAAAAAATAAAAAAGCAAAATTCTGTGCCAGATCCTTCAGAAATGCACACACCAGGCCTCCCACATCCCCCAGCCCTCCAGACTGGCACTGGAAAGTACCTGCTCAGCTTTGTTTACAAGGGATTTCTTCTGCAAAGGGCTTTTTCTTCTCACTCACCCACCCTCTCTCCCCAGATCTCCTCTCACCAATCTGCTCCTCCTACCAGCAGGGAATCTTGCTGGGCTTTCAAGCCAGCACAAGGTTCCACCACACAGAAATCACCAGCCCTGGTGCGTTTAGGCAGTATTGAGCAGTATTAGAAGTTAACCATGCTGTGAAGTGGAGCCTGGAAAATCACACATTACATAATGCCCTGGGAGCAGCAGATTCTCCTCAGCAGCTCCACCAGTGATTTATACCTTCACACAAAAATCAGCTGCGAGGAAAGTAGCCACAACTGCAAAAGAACCCTAAATTCAGGTGCTTGGGCTGTAATGGATCCAGCAAATTTCCAGCCTGGCACTCCTTCCCAGCACGGCTGAGAACATTCTAGAAGCCTGACGGATTTGGGGGTAGTTCTGTTTACTTTGGGTTTCTTTTTTTTAATAATGAAACTCTGTGGTTTATAAGAACTACTGAAAGCAGACTGTTTTTTTTCTTTTTCCTTTTTTTTTTTTTTCTAAGATTTAGTTTGTTTTTTCTCAAAGCCCCCCCCCTTAAAATAACGGATGTTTAAACCATATTTAGAGGCTCAGCTAAAGCAACTAATGAGTGTTAGGTAAGATGTCTCTCCATGTAGAACAATCTGTTCCAAAAGTTACCAAAAATAGCAATTCTCTAAACACTGCTGTGATGCAATATTTAACCCCTCGCTGCTGCTGCAGCAGAATTTGACCATTTCCCCCCAAAGCCTGCACAAAGGAGCTCTCCTTACCTAGGCTGGTGGGCTTGATCAGCTCGTCCAACAAGTCGTAAAAGGGGAGTTTCTGCAGCTTGATGTCGGGGTGCACGGGGTGCAGGGCC